TGCAATCGTTCGTCACGTTGACCACGGCAGCTTTGCTGGGGCCGAAACCATCTTGTTATTTGTTACACGACATGGAAGGAGAACAATCGAATTTAGTGTTAGGTCTGTAGCACGAAGCTTTGAAAGTCACGTACGTATAGGGTGGCGCGAGGTTTGCCCCGCTTTGATTGGTTAGAGCATCAGGCGAGTTTCATGTGGGGGTCCAAATACGACAATAACGTTTCTTGATTTCAGTATGGCCGACGTAAAAGGATACATTCTGGTAGCGAAAGGGTTATTAAGAAAAGCTCTCTAAAAACGAATCAATATATCAGAAACTCTGATTAATCGACTGAGCTTCTCGTGGGCACAGTTGAATGGTCGGCAATCCACTTTTAGACTTTTGAATTTTGATAGGTATCGTTAATTCTGGGGGTAGCGCGTCTGATCTCTTCTTCTTTTGACGGATTTGACCGAGTGCTGGCAGCGTGATTGAGAGAATGTCGCGTCATACTGGTCTTCAGAGTTGGGTTCACGAGAATGTCATCAACTCCCTGCACCTGCGCCTGAGAGTTCCAAGCGCTCGTATTGTCAGCGTAGTCTCCGTTGGCTGTACTGAATGGAGTTTCTGGATCCATAGTTGGTACACTCCCCCTTTTGCTGGTAGTCGATCCCTTCCGACCACGGCGGTAAGGAGGTCGTCTCTGCATGCTTCGAATCCTATCCATTTCGTCCTCTTCTTCACATTCATCACGTCTTCTTGGAATCGCCGGGCGCAAATACACTTTGTAGTTCGCCATGAACTCAAAGTAAGCAGATTCCCTAGATGGGATTGCCGATATCGGTAACTCATCCGTCAACGAGAAATTCCACGTACGGGCAATTGTTTTGGTCTCTGGAAAGGCCTCAGAAGCAACTGGGGCACTTATTTCACCACCAAAAGCGTTAGTAGTAGTACCGATTCCTGGTTTCGTCGCTACACCCACATGGTGAATCCATTTCCAGCGTCGAGACGAGTCAACCCTAGACGAATCGGATCTGGTTTCGCTGCGGCCACGAGCTCACGCAAGCTTGAAACACATGATATCGAAGTCGACAAGTTACACGCAGCCGGTTTAGAACCGCGCAGATCCATGTACGAGAGCTGTTTTGGTTTGGAAAGAACCGACTTTGTACCGAGTGTAGTGTTACCCGATACGGGCATTCCTAGCTGTCCAAGAGCGTTGTCACCCCACACAAACACTCGCTCGTTATCACCAAGGACCAAGGACATGTTGTGCTTTGCTACAATGCTCCGAACCGTGACTCGATGTGTCGCGCTCTTTAGAATCGTTACAGGATGCGGGACCCACACGCCGACAGTTGAATTTTCCTTCAAATCGATTCCCAACTGTCCTTCAGCCTCTCGCCCCCATGTATACACGACACCAGATCGAGATACAGCCATAGAGTGCGATGTCCCACAGCAAATGTCACTTATCGATCAGTCCTTGAAAAAATCGAGTTGCCGTGGCACCCACTCACTTACTGCAGCTCCATGGCCTAGCTGCCCATCGACTCCATTCCCCCAAGAGAAGACATTTCCGCTAGCTGAGAGAGCTAAGTTGTGAGTACTGCCAGCGCAGATAGCAGTGACTGTCGGAGGAGCCATGTAGCCATTGCTACCAGGAATGCCAATACCAGGGGCACTTGACGCTGCTAGCCACGTCGACAAAAAAGCTCCTTCATGTCGGTCTTTCTCGTCTCCCAGACCGAGTCGGCCATTCATTCCATCCCCAAACGATATAATACTCGTTTTGGTCTTCGTACAAATGCTCCAACTATCCGAGTTAGCTCGCGTTATTCGAACAGCGAGTGTCAACGTGTGTCGGTCGCCGCAGCTAATGTCCTTGAATCGCACTTTGTCCTCATCTTCATCCGTCGTAGAGTTGTTCGTTGGTTTACGCACTATGTTCGCAGCAAGGAGAGCTGACCATTTCATCGCTACCAGTGTCGGAACGTTAGTGTTAGCTTCATTTCCAGTACCCAAACGTCCATAAGATCCACAGCCAAACATGTAGAGCTCACCGACATCCAATACAAATCCTCCGTGGACACTTCCACATGACAAACGAATTATACGTCGTCGCGGCTGTAAACAGTACAGAGAGGACAAGGCGTCGGCGTACCAACGTACGGTCGCTCGTGACTCTGTCCGAGCTGTCCGTATGTGCTGTCCCCGAGCGAACAAGCTCGTCCATCCTCACATAGAAGACAACTCCAGCCGGAACCGCAGCTAACCTGAACTATCGGAGAGTCCAGATGTACCGATACTTCGTGCACAGCCGATACTTCACTAGGATTTCCTCTAGTTGGAGACAAGATAGGGTTTATTCTTGTGATGTTGATGGGGGCCCAGTCACCTAGCAGACATAGTGTGTACTCGTGCGAGTTGGACGTCGTAATCTCGCCATTATTTCGCCATTTGGAGAGCGATGTGGCACCACTAGCCGCGATCTCTGACATTGTCATCGTCCTCAAACTACCGTTCTCTTTTTTAAATGTTTATTATTAGAGTAAATTGTGGGATAATGCAAATTTATTCTTATTATCTGGACGATTAAAAAAACTGGTGAGTAGATAATAATCATACATAATTATTCGCAAAGGAAATAGAGATTTTTCGAGAAGTACAATTCTGGATCGTTGACACGAGTCAACCCTTCCTTGTTCATTAAAAAAAATAAGATTTTGTCTAAGCACAAACGTTTTTTCGTATCATACTGTATCTTCGGCTCAGTTTCAATTAACGTTATGATTCATTCAAAGCACGTAAGCAAAGCGTATTTGCTGATAAACTGACTTGAGATTTCCCGACTCATTTGTAGAAAATGGCCATCTAGCTGTGAAACTCGTGCTCGCGCCTCGCTTTAAGGCACCCGAACGCGGAGCTAAAACGGCCACGCAAGTTTGAGTGTCTCGTCGAAATTTTTGTCACTAAAGGGGACCTTTGACTCGCCGAAATCCGCCGTAATGAGTGCTGCGCGCTTCGTCCGTAAGTTGTTCCCACATGATGAGATCCTGGTACTGGCCGTCCGTTTTAGAAAACTGTAAGGCCAGCCACTCAAAGCTGTTCCAGTATGTGTGGAAAACCCGGATGGATTCGTTTGAGCCTGGGATGATCGTGAAATTCCAATGTCGATAGGAAATTCTATTACCACGGATTCGCTGCGTGCCAACATAGTACATCGGATCAATGTATGTTTGCTTGTAGTATGGTTCCCTCGGTTCGGTAAGCAAAGATCCTTTAAACCCTCGCGTTTTCAGGAGCTGTTGTTGCAGCGATGCACCAATAATCTTGGGTGAATCAAGCGCCGGATTATCAAGCCACAGCACCATACTTGCCCAGTAGTGACGACTTACTGCTTTATAACTCCAAAACCCTTTTGGAAAGTACCACGCAAACACCATCGCCCATTTATCGCGGTACCATCTCGATCGACCGTACACTTGAGACCCCAACGGTGCATCCGTACAGCCCTCCGTGCCTTACGTCCCCTTGAGCCCTCCGCTAACCTCACCAGCAGCATTCACAGCTGGAAATGAAGCGCACCCTTCTGCAACAAGTAGTTGCGGTTTAAAAGTGACGGTAGCCTTTTCACTTATCGTAACTGGGAGGGGCTGGGCGAATGGCTGGACTTGATCATGGTTAATTGTACCGGCATGTGCGGAAGCGAGCAGCAGCTGGAGATACAGCAGTAGTGCATCTACGAAATGCATCTTCCGAATACGACGAGCTGTATTGTCGGCGAGTTTGGAAGTGCGCTGCGAGGTGAAGCACAGATATATGAATCGGTTTTCGGAATACATCATCACAAGCATTGTATTAGATCATTTATTATCGTAATCTAGTAGTCCAGCGTAAAGCCAGCGCTGCCGTCACTAATACATGTAATGCCCAATCTTAACGTTGAAGCAATCAAAATACAAAGCCGCGCACTCGCACAGAACAGCTCTGGATTTTTGAGAAACACACCGTCATCCAAGGTAAAAGCAAGTAATTTTAAACCTAATCAGATCAAAGGAAAAGATCGGTTATACTTATCGCGTTGAAGCTGTAGATAAACGCCGAAGGTCATGGTTTTATGAGTTCGGATTATTGTAAATCCACCTCTGGCTGCTCATTAATTTAGCAGCAAATCAAACATGTAACCTTATACACGTAAATTTTAAATATAGATGGTGTATATTCAACTTCGGCATTAAAATGACTACTTTACAGCTATAGCCGCTGATAGCATCGGGAGCATGTATTCGCTAACTATTAATACATGCAGTACACATGTATTACCACCACATACATTTGCATACAAAAATGCCTTATACATTTGAATCAAATTTGTCGTTTCGGCAATATCAAGATGACTGTAAAGTAATCCTTGGGAACCAGCTCGGTTGGCGTGAGTAATACGAGCTACTACTACATGTACTACAATAGTATCATGTAGTACGACTCGTACTGTACGAGACGAGAGGTATCATGTTTCTCAAGGCTATTTAGAGCAGGTTTACCGAAATATAGTCTGGCTTCGTTTCGCTGTATCCATAGCACCGAAGCGCGAATTCTAATGTACAGTATACCGTTTTTTTCTCGAGAATATAGAAGCTGGGGGGACGCAGGGGTTGTACTTACTCACGTGGATTCTGTGCGAGTATTATTGATGGAATCTTCCGGCATTTGGTATGACTTAAATAAAGCAACACCAATTCCAGATACCAAGCCAAGAGAAACCAGAGCACCGACAGCTTTCGCCCACTTGGGCGTAGGCTCATGCGCATGCTTCTTCGTGGGGTGTACAATTTGCGATTGGGTCGAAGGTGTCATCGCTTTCTGCATCAGGTAATAAGACGCGGCAATCGGCGGAGTAGCTTCACTCCTAAGACGGCGAGCTTTGATATCAGAGGTGATACCTCTGCTACTGTCGGAATCCAAACCATGAGCGTTGTTGATCAGGGCAGTATCGTCGGCTCTAGTGAAGCTCATGGAAATCGCGCAGAAAGAAGCCACGATGATGGACAGTGAGCACGTGCCGTGCATTTTGGTGTGGGCCATACGGGAATATTCGGTAATGGCCGACTCTCAGAATACATTTGTAACAGAGCAGTGGCCCGGAGTGAGCGATGGGCCTGTGGTGGTGACGCAGTGCGGATCCAGCAAGCCTGTGGAACCTTTGTGGGACGGGACCAAGTTGAAGAAGGGCGAGGCGAAGTCGGCGAACCTGGATGGAGTGCGAAGAGTCGCGATAAGCAGAGGATTACCGTCGGTGGATCGCTTGCGGACGGCGCGAAGGTCGATGAGTACGGCCAGAGTGCCGAAGTGTAGGACGAAGTGAGGTAGGTGAGCAGCTGCGGACTGGCGTGCGGCCAAACGAAGATTGGCGGCACCAGGATCGTGCGAGCTGTGTGGCGTGCGGCCAAAACGAAGACCGGCGGCGCTAAGAGGGGGAGAGCTCAGTTCGGAATTGGCGGTGTCGAGCACAACCAGTTTGGAGATCGCGGGTGCACGGGAGACACCAGCGACGCGACAGAGCCGTACGACAGAGTGCGGCACATAGTGCGAGACGTCGGCCAAGACTGGCACGAGTAGACGGACGAGTAAGCGAGAAGTGTGGCACTGAAGGGCAGTGGCAGCACTGTCGAGTGCTACTGAGGCGGACGAGTAATTCAGGGCGCTGGGGTTTAGGCGGTGCGGGGCACTAGAAGCATCTTCGTGAGCAACCGGGGCTCGCGAGGTTGTGCAGTGTGACGTGCGGGTTCTAGGGACGGCGCAGGACGGTTGCACGGACGGCCGAGGTGATTGAGAGTGATTGAGAGTCTCCAAGGAGACGAAAGCGAGAAGCCTCTGTTGCGTTCAGCAGCGGAGCAGCGAGTCGAGTCCGTACAACGAGTTGGATCGGTGGTCGTGCGGGTGTTTGTGTACACCAAGGGCGGCGACTACGGGTCAAACGAGTGTACGGTTTTATAGGGTTGATATTAATAAATATAGACAGAGTGTGACCGAGCCAACAGGCGTTATTACTAGTCGGTATCGTACGGACCTGGGCCACAAACGCAGCACGTCACCAGCTATACGACACGCCGTCAAGCAGGCGTTACAAGACTTGTTACACATTCCCAACGAAGAAATTTTGTTTTTGTCGATTACGATTCAGAAGTCAGTAAACCGTTATACCGGTCGTAAAATTGACCCCACATTCTTCCATCACACCCCAAGCTTCTCCGTGGCTACAGTTTATTTTTAACGATAACAAGTCCAGTGGCTTTTACCCGATGTTGTTGCGTTGTGGCTGTACAGACAACACAGACTCGATTTGTGCTAGATGGGAACTTGATCTATGTAACATTACCCTATTAACAGCACGGAGCGCAACACTCAGAACCCAACACTGGTCCTATGGATAGAAGACGGATAATAAACAAGAATTTAAGTTCTGATCTTGACATAGTGTATTTTTGACCCAAAGTGTAACAGGGTACGTAGCCCTAAGTGTACCCTGGTTACATGAAGTGTGACACTTCACACTTCAGGAGTATGACACGTCATACTCCGAGATATTTGGTACAAGGTACCAAGGTCCTTCAAAGCCAACCATTGGTTAAATGACATTGCATTTCTATAGGTAACTAACAGTTTGTATTAAACCCAAACTTAACCTACCTATAAATAAACTCAGTTTACAATCTACCTTATTTGGGTCACTTCGCTCCCTCTAACAAAAGAGGGGACCTGTGAACTGCCGTTCACTGAGAGTTTGTAAACTCTCGGAAGATAACTTCCTCTAGCGCAAGGTGCTGTGTGACCCCGTCACACTTGGTAGCACTTGTAGTCAATCCACGCCATCGCCGGTAGACTACCTGAACCTCCGAAGTTCGTTGCCATGGATAGGAACGACTTCTCCCATTTGAACGACTCTCAGTTCGAGTCGGTTCGGAAGATGGCAGGCATCTTCGGGATGGAGGCCCTGCGGAGCCTGGTGGTGTCAACACCGGCTGAGCAGCTCGAGCGCGTCAATGCATTCGACGCGTACGAGCAGGGCCTCATCGCGCATGTGCGGGAGAACCTGCAGGCTCCGGCGGCGGAAGCAAATCCGCCTCACCCGAAGCCAATACGGCTGAAGGTAAAGCCGTATGAAGGGAAGGAAGGCGAGAACATTCACTTCTGGGTCCGAGAAGTAGAGCTCGCGATGGACGCGGCTCTGATCTCGACCGAGCAACTGCGTGTTGCTTTTGCACTCTCCAACCTTAGCGGTCGTGCTAAGAGTTGGGTGTACACTCGAGAAGCAACATCCCCTGGATGTTTCACATCCTGGGCTCAGCTGTGCGAACAGCTCCGAGCCGCGTTCCTCCCGGCGAACTACGAGTACCGCCAGCGTTCGCGCTTCCTCGCGTGTAAACAAGGAAGGCGCGAACTGCACGAGTATGTGCAAGAGATACGGGAGCTCACGGCGTCCCTAGTGGGAAACCCACTCAATGAACACATCAAGATGACTGTGCTCATGGACGGCCTTCGAGTGGGCCCCGCACGCACTCAGCTGTTCCGGGTGCAGGCAGGCACCCTTGAAGAGGCGATTCAAGTGGCTCTTCAAGAAGAGTACAGCCATCGCCAGGCGCGTACGCCGGCCTCAGCGTGGCCTGGGAGCTCCTTGTCGGCTCCCGGTCGAACAAGCCCCAACGGACCAGGTCTCATGGAACTCGGGTCCGCCCAACAGCGTGACATCCGCTGCTTCGGCTGTGGGAAGATGGGCCACTTCAAGCGCGACTGTCCCGCGGAAAGACTCCGCAGACGGTCCTTCCCCAAGCCCGTCCTCAAGGGTCGCTGGCAGAAGCCAGGATCCCGGGGACAGGGGAACGCAGGGAACCAGTAGGGGCGAAGAACTAAGTAATCGTGATGGGTGCGCGGGTGGCGCGTACCACGGGGACTTAGCCCCTGAGAGTCTTCGCACTCTCGAATCGGCGAAGAGCAGCGGCGGGTTGCTCGTAGTACACGGATGTGTACGGGGATACGATCATCCCTTTAGAATCTTGATTGACTCTGGGGCGTCGAAGAATTTTGCACGCCGCCAGACGGTTGCTCGTAACAGCAACAAGTTGTCCGAAGCTTTGAGAGAAAGCAAGGGCAACGGGACGGTGTCAGTGCGACTGGCCGACGGGAAGGTCGTCACTGTCCCCAACGTCCAAGTGGATCTGGCCGTAAATTTTGAAGACTTTGACAGCCTCGAACAGCTCACTGTTTTCGATATTGATCCATATGATATGATCCTGGGCATGCCCTGGCTTGAGAAGCACGAGCCCTGGGTCGACTGGCGAGGCAAGGCAATCGGTGCCAGTTGCCCTGCGCAGTCCGACAGAGCATTGGTGAGTCATGTTCCCACCTCTGTCAGGACCCGGGGCGCCCGAGAGGGCTGCCAGGGTACCAAAGCATCTGGCAGATGCTTGGGAGTCGTCGACGTATATGACGACTCCGAGGATGTTTTGATGGTGGCCGCGCCCAGAAGAGGCGCTGGCCAAGTGGATAACTTAGGTCCACAGGCGGGTAACTTAGTTCCGCAGACAGCTGCAGCTGTCATGAACACTGAGAACAGCGTGTTCAGAGTGGGTAACAGAGTTCCACTCACGGTCGCCCAGACCTTAACTGAAGAGGAAGACGTCGGATACGCTTCCTGTGTGGGTAACACAGTGCCACACGCGGTCGCCCATACCTTAACTGAAGAGGAAGGCGTTGAACACGCTTCCTGTGTGGGTACAACAGTACCACACGAGGCCACGAGTGCCTCGGATGTCGTAGCGACGACATCCCTCGACGTGGGCAGCAAAGCTCCCCTTCACAGACGCCGTCGACAAAGACGCCGCCGCCGCCTCAAGTCGGATCCGAACTTCGCTCCGATCGACGTCGCCTCAAGCGACTCGGAGTCCAGGGCACGGGCTCCTCCGACAAGGCCGGTGGAAGAGTGTTATCACTTCTTCGATGGCGAGACAGGTTTACCCGTCAAGGCATCTGGTGTCCACTTGGAACCGTTGCCAGAGGTTGCAGAGATACTGAACCTCGAGGAAATGACGGCTGAGTCTTTCCTGGCCAACCTCAAGGCTGGAGAGATTGCTGAGATGGTGCTCATGAGACCTGAGACCACTCAGGAGGAGCTGAACTCCTCCTCTGTCTTGGACGAGAACGTCCTGGAAGACATGAACAAGCAGCGTCAGGCGCGCTTAGGTTCTGAGATTCTCAAGAACCCCAAGGATCCGGTGTATCCTTTGGTGACGGAGTATGCGGACGTGGTGAACAAACACCCACCGACCCAACTCCCACCGGATCGAGGCGTACGGCACGAGATAGATCTCGTGCCCGGCACAAAGTATTGTGTCACGAGGCAATGGCCTCTCCCGCGCGAACAGTGCGAGGTCATTGATGCCTTCTTCGCCGCGAAAGCGAAGGCAGGCATGGTGCGGGAATCGAAATCCCCGCACTCGACGCCGACTTTCTGCGCTCGGAAGCCGAACGGAAAGTGGCGTCTCGTTCACGCTTATAACAAGCTGAACAACGCAACGGTGCCGGCCCAAACACCGATCCCACGAAAGGATGTGTTGTTGAACAACATGGCCGGGAGCGTACTGTACAGTGCGCTGGATTTGGTAGACGGATACTACCAAATCCTGATGCGAGAGAGTGACATCCCGCTCACCGCGGTAAGCACTCCAAGCGGCATGCTTTGGGAGTGGCTCGTCATGCCGCAGGGCTTGTCTAACGCCCCGGCGACGTTCAATCGCCTGGTGACGCAATTGTTCCGCCCTTTGCGTACCTTCGTACAGACGTACTTCGACGACATATTCGTCCATAGCCGTGCCGAGGGAGGCAAGACGGCCATGAAGGTGCATCTAGGACACCTCCGTCGAGTGTTGGACGTGATGCGAGCGAACAAGCTCTACGCCAACATCGACAAGTGCGTTTTCGCGTCACCAGAGATCAAAGTTCTCGGTTGCTTCGTAAGCAACGTGGGCGTTCGGGCTGACCCAGACAAGGTCAAGGCCATAGCAGCATGGCCGACGCCCCGATCCCAGAAGGATCTTCGAAAGTGGTTGGGTTTGGCCAACTACCTTCACAAGTACAGCGCTGGGTACGCGGGCTTCGCTAAGCCCTTGTCGAGCCTCCTTCAGAAGGACGTCGACTGGCGCTGGGAACAAGAGCACCAGGATGCTTTTGACAGCATCAAGGCCAGTCTCCAAGAGGCCCCTGTCCTGGCTCTGCCGGACGAGACGAAGCCGTTTAGCGTCGTCTGCGATTCCTCCGATTACGCCTTCGGGTGTGCATTGCTGGAGGCCGACACGGCTGGACATGAACGAGTCATCTCGTTCCAGGCCAGGCAGCTCAAAGCCGCCGAACGGAACTACCCTGTCCATGACAAGGAGCTCCTGGCAATGAAATATGCCCTTGTAAAGTTCCGTGCTCACCTTCTGGGCTCTAGGCCCTTTGTGATCTACACAGACCACGCGTCCTTGAGGACGGCGACTAACTCGCCTCACCTCTCCCAAAGGATGGCGAGGTGGCTGTCCTTCTTCGCGGAATACAACTTCCGCGTCGAATACAAGCCGGGC